TTGTGGTGGTGGTGGCGGTGCGGCGCGAGGGGGGCGAGTAGAGGGAGGCCGCCCTACGGGCGTCTGGGCGCTCCAAGCGCCCCCGCCCCCGGGCGTCCGGGCGCACCAGGCGCTCCCGATGGGGCAAATCGGCACGATTCCTTGCAAGAGGGAGGGACGGTGGACGAGGGGAGGGGGCGGAGTAGGAGGGGGGGCACAACATAAGCCGAATTCTGGACAGGCAGGCTGGACCTCAGAGGACCCCCCCGCCCTCAGGCTGCGCTCCGAACCACCATTGTGCTTCCGATATATATATATATATATATATATATATATATATATATATATATTCGTCCGAAAGGGCGATACCATCAACGATGAGGATCTGATAGCGGCTGACCAAACTCATCGAAAATCACCTTTTCGACAATCCAGAAAGTCTTCAACAGCGCGCATTCCAACGGGAGTCCGGGCTGGTCGCGCGAGAGCCGCTCAGCTTCCCGCCCGACCGCGTGCTGAAAACGCGCCCACTCTGGATCCGCATCGTCCTCCTCCGAGTCGAGGGTGCGGTCATCCAGCGCCGCAGCCGGGCCGTTGTGCCTTTTTCTGCTCCTCCCCCAACATGTCGTGACCAGCCGGCGGCGAGCGAGAACATGAAGCCGAAGTAGCCGCTGCCGCTTGCCCCCCCCTTTCCGATGGGAGACACGTTTTTTCTTGGGCCTGTTCGGAGCCATGATGCCCCCAACGATGGTGGTGGACTGCTCGCTGTCCGACCCCTCCGTGTCCCGCCGCCGCGGCCGCGGCCTCAAACCGAGCGGGGCATTAAAATATGATGCGTTCGCGAATGAACACGCGAGAACTCAAACAAATCGGGTCGGAACGGGGCGGGTCGGGCGGACCCCGACGGGCGGGTCGGGTCGGGCCAGACGGGCCCTAACAGGCGGGTCGGGTCGGGCCCTGACGGGCGGGTCGGATCGGACGGGCGGGTTCCTGGAACCTCCCACAAAACCTTCCAAAACCCTCGTCACGAACAATCGTGGATTCTTCGTGAAAAAATATTGAGAAGGTTTTCCCGGGACGGGGGAGGGGGGGCGAGGAAGGTTTTTGCAATGTTCTTCCAACAGAAACTGGTTAACAACCTTCCAAACAACCTCCGAGAAACCTTCCAAAAACCGTCCAACCACCTCCTAGCATACCTTCAAAAAACCTTCCATCAACCTTCCCAACAACTTCCAACATTAGCGACACCGCACAATATATCCCCAAAGCCTGCCCAAACCTCCCAAACAACCTTCCAAAACAAACCTTCCAAAAACCTCCCAACAACCTTCCCCAAACAACATCCCAAACACCTTTCGAAAAACGTTCCAGAACCACCTTCCGCAAACCTTCCACAACAACCTTCCAAAAACCTTTTGTCGCGAAGAATCCAGGAGGGGTTGGCCCAAAAAACTTCCAAGAACCTTCGGCGCGACGGTTGTTGGAAGGTTTTCGTTGTAAGGTTCCGCGTGTCCTGGATTATTTGCGACGGGGGTTTTGGAAGGTTTGGAAGGTTCCAAGAATCCTGCATTCTTCGTGGCGAGAATTGGTGGACGGTTTTGTGGAAGATGTTCCGGAACACTTTCCAAACACCTGCCAAAACACCCTCTGATATTCGGCGAAACCACCCAATACATTCCAAACACCTTCCAAAAACGTTCCAAAACACCTCCCCCCCCAGAAAAACCGTCCAAAAACCGTCCCCTACAAAAAACCTCCCAAGCAACCGTCCAACAACCTTTCACCAACCTTCCAAAACATATTCCAAAAACCTTCCAAACACCTTCCGCAAATCCTTCCCAAAAACGCCCCGAACACCTGCCAAAAAACCTTCCAACCAACCTTTTACAAAAAAAAAACTCGTCGCGAAGAACCCAGGAGGGGTTGGCCCAAAAACCTCCCAAAAACCATCGCGATCTTCCAAAGACCATCGCGACGAAGGTTTTTTTTTGTTTTTTTTTTTTTTTTTTTTTTTTTTTTTTTTTTTTTCTCTCCGGAAGGTTCCAGGAATTCTGGATACTTCGTGGCGAGGGTTTTTTAAATTTTTTTTTTTTTTTTTTTTTTTTTTTTTTTTTTTTTTTGAAACGTTCCAAGGATCCTGGATTCTTCGTGACGAGGGTTTTTGAACGGTTTTTGAACAGGTTTTGCCGAAAACCGTGCCGAACATTTTCCAAACAAAATTCCAAAAACATTCTCAAAAACTTCCAACACCCTTCAAAAAACAACCTTCTACAATTTTAGCGGAAGCGCCCAATACATCCAAAACACCTTCCAAACACCTTACAACAAACAACCTTCCAACAACCCTTCCGGAAATCTTCCAAAAACATCCCGCCAATCTTCCAAAAAACCTTCCAAAAACTTCCGAACAAACATTCCAAAAACATGCCACAAACCTCACCCAAAGCTTTCACCACGATCCACGATTCGTGGATCCTTTCAAAAAACCTTCCAAACCCTCGCCACGAAGAACCCAGGATCCCCGGAAGCTTCCAACAAAAACTTCCAAAAACCTTCGCCACGAAGAATCCAGGATTCCAGAAACCTCAAAAAAAAACCTTCCAAAAACCTTCGTCGCAAAGGTTTTTAAACGGTTTTTTGGGCCACCCCCTCCTGGATGCTTCGTGACGAAAGTTTTTGTACGATTTCATGGAAGGTGTTTGGAAGGTTTTTTGGAAAGTTAGTTTGAAAAGTTTTTGGCAAGTTTTTGGAAGGGGGGGGGGGGTTGAACCCCCCCCTCCGCCCCCCCTGGCGCCGGCGCCGGCGCTGGTGGCGGCCAGCAGCGCCGGCGCTGGCGCTGGCGACGGCGGGGACGCAGCGACGACTGCCACCGCTACCACCACCGCCACCACTACCACCACCACCACCGCCTCAACCCACCACCACCACCATCAACCCATCACACAACCACCACCACCAGAGCCACAACCACCACGACCACCACCACAACTCACCATCACCACCACCACCACCACAAAAACCCGCCGCCACGTCACCACCACCACAATGTACCACACCACCACCACCACCACCACCGCCACAACCACCACCAATACTAGCAGCACAACCTACCGCCACCACCACAAACCACCACGCCACCACCACCACCGCCACCACCACCACCACCAGCAGCACCACCAGCACCACGTCCACAAATCACCGCCACCAACACAACCCACTACCACCACAAACCACTACCACACCACCACCACGCCACCTCAACCATCACCGCCACAACTCACCATCACCACCACCACCACAAGAACCCACCACCACTTCCACCACCACCACAATCTACCACACCACCACCGCCACCGCCACAACCACCACCACTACTAGCAACACGACCCACCGCCACCACCACAAACGCCCACACCACCACCACCACCGCCGCCACCACCACCACCACTACTAGCACCACGTCCACAAACCACCGCCACCACCACAACCCACCACCACCACCACCATCAGCACAAACCACCACCACACCGCCACCAAACCACCACCACCACCACCACAACCCACCACCGCCACCACAAACCACCACCACACAACAACCAAACCACCACCACCACTACCAGTTCCACCCACCACCACAACCACCACCACCACAACAAACCACCACACCACCACCACAACCACCACCACCGCCACCACCACCACCACCACCACCACCACAACCCACCACCGCCACCACCGTTCTCGTCGACGCTCCCCGCCGCCGCCGCCCGCTGCCGCAGGCGCAGGCGCCGGCCCAGAAAAGGAAATCGTCGTCCCCGCCGCCGCGGCCAGCCGCCGACGCAAGCGCCGGCCCGAGGAGAGGAGGGGAAGCAAGGGAGGAAGGAAGGGGGGAGTGGGTTCGAAAGCCCCCCCCCTCCCCCTCCGTCAAGGGGGGGGTTCGAACCCCCCCCCCTCCTCCATCCATGGGGGGGGTTTGGTTTCACCCCCCCCCCTCCAAGCGACCACAGAACGCGCTTTTTCGAATGTTGTTTTTAGGTATTTGGAAGGTTTGAAGAAAAACCTTCGAAAGAACCTTCCAACAACCTTCGGCGCGCAGAATCAAGGATTCCTGGAAACTTCGAAGAAACCTCCCAAAAACCCTCGTCACGAAGAATTCAGGATTCCAGAAACAAAAACCGTCCAGAAACTCTGGTCACGAAAAATCCAAGAGGGGTTGGCCGAATTGCCGCACCCAACTGTTCTGGAAGCCTTTTGGAAACATTTTGGGAGTCTTCGGAGGCCTTTAGGGACTTCTGCGGGGTCCGTTCGGGTCCTTTTGGGCCGGCTGGGGGCCCTCTTGGGACGTCTTGGGGGGCCTGGGCCGTCTTTGGGCCCTCTTGGGGCCCACGGCCCTCTGGGGCCTGTCTTGTAGTTCTCTTGGGCCGTCTTGGAGCCCTCTTGGGGCGATGTTGGGGGCCACTTGGGTTGTCTTGGGGCGATCTTAGAGGCCTATTGGGTTTTCTCTTGGGTCCTTCGTATTGGGTCGTCTTGGAGGCTGCTAGGACCGAAGAAGCGGAGATGCTAGAAATGTGCGTTTCCCTTCGGGAATGCGACGAGTTGTGCCTCTTGGGATCCCTCTGGGGGACCTCCTGGGCAGTCTCGAGGGCCTCTGTGGCCGTCCAGAAGCCGTCTTGGGCCATGTTGGAAGTATCTTACGGCCTCTTGGGCCAGCTTGCGAGCCTCTTGGGCGGGTGTGAAGGGCGGTTTCGGCTGTCCGTGAGCTCTTCCGACAGGTGCCCCGGGGCTGGGGAATGCTGTCCAAAATGCATTTTTGGGGGGGGGGGCGTCTGTTGCCCTTCATGCTGGATGGAAACAGGAACGAATACAACATCTGCATAAATGAGAGAGAGAGAGAGAGAGACGGAGAGACAGGGAAGGGGAGGGAGGGAGAGAAAAGGAAAAGGGAGTGGAGAGAGGGAGGCAGAGACAGGGGCAGACTGACGGACGAAGACTCTGCCTGCAGGCGTAGCATTTCGGAACACTCGGTCCAACACGTCTCCAGCCGCCGCACCCGCAGCGAGACCACCTGGTAAGCCGGCGTAGGAGAGGCAAGACAATGCTCATCCTCCATCTCGGCCGTTGCTGCCAGTTCCATGTAAAGCAAGGGGCCTCCCTCAGCGATCCTCCTCCTGCTCCTCGTCCTCTCCTTCTGTCCCCCCCTTCTCTTCCTCTTCCTCCTCCTCTGACCTCCCCTACCTCCTCCTCCATTTCCTCAACCACTTCCCCTCGTCACCCATCCCTTCGCCCCTCTTCCTCCTCCAGTCTCGCCGCTGCAGAATCATTCGGAATATAATTCGCTGTTTCGACCAGTGATGGCTTTCATGTTAAGCTATTAGCATACAGTCGGACCTGGGCCAGAAGAACATCCTTCAAGGACATGAAACGCTCCATCGGTCAAAACAGATAGAACATCCAAGGGTACCATCCCCAGGATGCACAAGAGTATCCAACAAACACTAAGACCACTAGGGCATCCTCCCCGAACCGATCTCGATCTTATACCTCGTTCCCACTGTAGGGCACCTCTATAGCATTCAAAGATGATGGATGGAACTTGAATCCAGCCATGGACGACAGACGACGACGGACGACGACGACGGCGGACGACGACGACGACGACGACGACGACGACGGACGACGGACGACGGCGACGGCGACGGCGACGGCGACGACGACGGCAGACGACGACGGCAGACGACAATGGACGACGACGACGGCGACCACGACGACGACGACGACGACGATGAACACGACGAACGACGACGACGACAACGACGACGACGGCCGACGACGACGACAACGACGACGACGACGACGGACGACGACGACGACGGACCACGAGGACGACGGACGACGACGATGACGACGACGGTTAACGGACGACGGACGACGGAGGATGAGGACGACGACGACCACCACCACGACGACGACGTCGACGATGACTGCGGACGACGAATGCTGGCGCCGACGACGACGACCCCCAACGGGGCCCGCCGGCGGCGGCTGCCCCAGCGCCCTCGCCGCCGCGCCGGCCGCGTCGCCGGGGGCGGCCGTCGCCGCGGCCTGCTTCTGTCGGAGGGAGGGGGGGAGGGCGGAGCACGGGGGGGAGGAGGGGGGGGGGGGGACGGGGGAGGCGGAGGGAGGAGGGCGGAGGAGGGCGGGGGGGACGGGGAGGCAGACGGAGGAGGGCGGAGGGGGAGGGCGGGGGGGACGGAGGAGGCGGACGGAGGAGGGCGGAGGAGGGCGTGGGGAACCCTTGACACCGCGCCCCCCCCCCATCCCCCCAATGTCCAAGTTGGGCCCAAGCATTCGGCAGCACAGGCGCGAGAGGAACGCCCAGGGCCTCGGGGAGGCCGAAGCCAACTTTGAACTTTGAAATTGGGGTTGGGGGGGGCGAACGCGCGGTCGAAGACGAAGGGGTTCCACTGTTGTGTCCCCTTACCAGAGGATGGGGTGGGATGGGAGGATGGGTGGAGGGCGGGGGACGGGGGACGGACGGAGGGGGGAGAGGGCGGGCGGAGGGAGGGGGATGGCGGAGGATGGGGAAGGCCAGCAGGGCTGAAGGCTTCCTTCCTGCCACACGCTCCTTTGATTCCACCGAGCACATATCCCCCATAGAGGAACGACAAGCTGCATAAGCAGCAACTGGAACCACACGTCGACCCCGAAGTCAGCAGGATGGATCGGGGAGGCTGGGCGCTGTAAGCGCGGCAGAACGGTGGCGAAGCGCCACCTCCTCCTCCTCCCTCTCCTCGACCTCATCCTTCTGCCTCGTCCATCGCCTCCCTCCGTTTCCCGCAGGAGAACACTGGACGTGCGCAATATGCTTGGACTCGGGCGGATGATGAGCCTGGACCAGGGCCTGTCCCGGGGTGGATTCAGACTCGGATGCAAATAGTGAACCCGGCCGCTGCAACGATGATCCGAATTGAAGCCCTGGGCTCTTCGCTCCTCGGCCCAAATGCGACGGCACATTGAACCTCGTGCCTTCATCCTCCGTCCCGTCCACCCCATCACCCGTTGTCATCCTCCTCTTCTCGACTCGGAATGTCGATTCGGATGCCCCCCGGAGCGGCGTCCAGAAACATCGACTCTGAGGCAACCCGAGATCGGAGGGCCCTGTTGGGCTGTTCGTGTTTTTGGGGGCGGCCTCTTTGGGGGGTGTTTCAGGGTTGTTTCACATATTTGTCTTTCTTCTCTACCTCCTGCTTGCTTCCTCCTTCTCCCCCTTCTCGTGGCTCATTCCCTCCTCCTCCTCCTCCTCCTCCTCCTCCTCCTCCTCCTCCTCCTCCTCCTCCTCCCCTCGATGCTCCAGGAGAGGTTTCTGGGCACGTCAACTGGGGCACGCGAGGAACTGCTGCTGGGAATGTAAATTGAGTGCAACCGAGAAAAACCCAATCAACGGATAGTTTGAAATGGAATCGATAAAAAGATCGATAAAGAGATCGACCGGGAACCCGGCAAACCGGAACCAGGAACCCGGGAACCCAGCCGGCCACCAAAAAAACGGCGGGAAACTTTCGCCAAGTTCTTGAATTTCCGATCTAGGACTCCTTCGGTGCAAACACCGACTGGGGCACCTCTGGGGGGTGCTCCCGTGCGGCCTCGTCTGCGCCCGTGCGAGCTTCTTGCCTGGCCTGCCGCCCCTCGCTGCAGAGCCCCCGTGCGGCCCCTCGAGGCAACCTCCGGCGGGGGGGGGGGCCCGCGCCTCGTGGGCGCCCCCCCCTCGGCCCCTCGGGGGCCCCCGGGGAGCGTCCCAAAGGGGGTCTCCCGTGGCCGTATCGTGCCCATCTCTTGGCCGCCTCGTGCCCGTCGGGCCGTCTTGGGTCCACGCGAGGGCCACCCCGGGGCGTCCGCAGGCCATCCTGGGCCGTCCGGCGCTCTGCTCAGAGAGCCCCCGTGGGGCGCTGGGGCAGCGGCATGGGTCCTCCTGGGCCGTCTTGGGCGCCCTCACGGCCGGAAACCACAAACCGCAACACAATCGGCAGAACACTTAAGAACCTCATGCGTTTCAATGCTTTCCACCTTTTCAGCCAGCTCCCCTGGGGAGACCAAAAGGTACGGATACCGCTACTCCCCGGACCTCTCCAGGGGTGCGTTCGGCCAGAATTTCGAGGCGGACCCAGCGGTGGCGACGAGGCCCTCCCAGGAGGCCCCAAAAAGGGGGAAACAAGGGAGGGGGTAACGGTATAGGGCAATTTCCGTCTCCCCCTCCGACTTCCACCTTGTCGGCCAGCTCCCCCAGGCTCCCGGCAGGAGAGATCGTCCACGGAGCCCCGGGGCGTCGCTCACCACCGCAGGCGGCTTCCGGAGCGCGGCGGGGCCGCTCGGGGACGTCGGGGAGCGCCTGGCGGATTCTGTCGGGTCTGCGCTGGGCGCCCCCTGGCGGCGCCCCTGGGCCACCCCTGGCGCGTTCCGCGCGCTGGGGGGGGGTCTTGGGTGTGCGGAGGGGGCGCTCGGGAACGTCGGGGACCGTCGGGCGGATTCGGTTGGGTCTGCGCCGGACGCCCCCTTGCGGCGCCCGGTTGCTACGCCAAAAAAAGGCCCCCGACCCTTTGGGAAGGGGCCCGAGTTAGGAGGGTCAAAGCCAGCAGGGATAAGGGGTCTTTTCTTGTGTATGGGGTTGAAGTACAAGGGCGCAGAACCCCTGATCCGTTGGTAGAGAGAAGGAGGGATAGATGGATATCTTTCCCTCCCGCACGATCAAGGTCTGATCGATCTATCTCGGTACCTGAGCCCAAACGGCCAGGCGCAGGAGAGGTAAGGATAAGGAGTAAATATGAGGGTATTACACGGGTTCCATTCACACCCCCCGCCCCGAATCCCGCCCGTTAAGGCGGGACTCGGGAACAGAGGAAGGGAATCCGTAAACTCTGAACTCCTTTAGTCCTTAAGTCAGAAGGCAGCTGGGCTTAGAATCAGCGAAGCCACAGCTGCAAAGTGAAGTTAGAAGGAGCACCCTATGTCCCCCTTTCTTCTCCAAGCACGCTTTGGTGCCCCCTCGGTGCGCCCCCCAAAACGCTTCGGCACTCGAGGGCGGAGAAGAATGAGACAAGGGTGGGCGGAGAAAGAAGATCTGAGCGTTAAAGCAACGTGCAAACTGCCTCGCTTCTTCGAGGCAGGTGTTGCCACCAGCTAGCAGATTATTCTCGACGCAATCAGGTTTAAACTGTTAAAATATGCATGCTAAGATCGTGTTGACGAACACGATCTTGAAATGAAACACATCATTGTGTGAAAGCGAATGTCTGGCCAGACAAAATGTCGTGTTGATGAACACGAAAATCATGTGTAAAACTCTGTTTGGCGACGCCCGTTGGCGTTGCTCCTTAGGAGGCTGCCTCGGCGATCGCAAAAGGTATTTCTGTGTGGCCACTTTTGTTATATAACGAAGTGGCCTAAAATATGAAATAGCTACCGCTCAAGACGAACTTTGGTTATATTGAAGTTCGTGCCTTGAGCGGCGTGCCTTGCGGCCGACTCACTGCGTGTTGCCGTTCTTGTAGAACCTGCGGTCCCACATCCTCTGGCCGTTGTACGTCGCGTAGCTCGTCGCGAATGTTTCCCAAGCCGTTCTCGGGATCCAGTTGCGAAACCAATCGTTGTACGTGATGTCCTGGATGTAAACGTACTCATCGTTGTTGATCGCAAGGTAGATCCAACAGTTGATGTAGTAACTCCAGTACCTGAGGCCCCAGTAGCTGTCCTCAAGGTCATCACGCCAGTACGCTGCGTAATCTGATGTACGCGCTCTCTTGGCACGCGGCCCCGCGGGCGTGTAGTCCGTCGCGCCTGAGGCGCTGGACGCAGCAGCATCGCCAGGAGCAGGGCGCGGCGGCGGCCGCGGATGGCGCGGCTCCATGGCATCATCGGACTGGTGGGATTGTGTATCGGGATCGGTTCTCATCCCTGTATCAACCCCCCTCTGGTCGGTATGTGCCGGATCGAGGGAGCCTAACAACTCATTGGCAATCGCGGCAAGCTTACGCTGAGTGAACTGTTCACGGGTTCCGTCCCTTCTAGGGAGAGAAACCGTGACCAGTCCGCGGGCCTGCCGCGTCTGCCTGTCGATGCGCCCCTCGTTCAGCCACCATTTCCTCCCACCAGCCTGTCCTGTCCTAATGCTGACGTCGAGGATGTCCCAAGCATCGCGCATGTCCTCCACTGTCCAGGGCTTCTTGCCGACGTTCACGCGGGCACCTGTCATTTGGTGGTGGAACTCGAGGTCGTTGAGAAAGCGTTGTACGAGATTGGCGAATGGGTAATACAGAGGTCGGTCGTCGTCGGCTTCGCCCATCAGTCTGCACTCATGTGCAGGAGGGCTACCTGCTTCGACCCACTTCTGATGCCTCTTTTTGGACACATTGGCCAATCTCCGCAACTGATCTTTCTCGTTGCCTGCATGCGATCGCGCGCCCGTCATAATGACGTGCGCACCGTCCTTCATGTATCCCGCGATGTGGTCCTCCGAGAGTGTCGTCTTGATCCAATTCGTCAGCTTCTGGAGGTACGCAAGATCGCTCTGTGTGGCGGTGCTCTTACCCGTGGCGCCTACGGCCGCGGTATACTGCCAACAGATATCACAAAGTGCGCCGTCACCTGTGACAATTCCGAGGGACAGATCTCGACCGCAATTCTGACAGAGCGGCATGGGATGCAAGATCGTCTCGGGGGCCCCCTCCGAAGTGAGGTGATCGCGGGATCCCCAGCGGGTGTCCTGACCGCGAGCGAGGCTCTGACCGATCTGATTGATCGCCTCACGATTGGTCTCGGTGTTCGGTCGGGAAGCGATCGATCTACTTAAACCCTCGATCTCGATCCTAGACAATCTTTCCCCTGGCAGTCCTTTGTACTCTATCTTGGTGTTGTCGGTATCCTCGGTACCGCCATGGCATACGTTCTCCTCGCGGAGACGGCGAGCTTTCTCCTGCAAGGTAGCCTCGTTGTCGCCCTCCTCGCGCTTGAGTCCCGTCTGCTCGGCTATGATACGTACCATAGTTTCCTGATCGGGAGCTGCAGACGCAACGCTGCCTGGATCCTGGGGGATATCCTGCTCAGCGCCT